GCAGCACTCCCGCGTTGACTATTAGAAAAATATGGTTGAACAGTGAACATTTTTCATTTGACAGGCTGGCAGCCTCTTAGGCTCTTACTAGAATACTACTACTAGCCCCTTGTAGTTGCAGGTTCACATTTCACTGATGGCTAATGTGAAGCTATCACTCTGGCATCACTCATCAGTGGCAATGTGGCATGTGACACACTGACAGTCTGACAGTGATTACTGATCTGGTCTTATGACTCTTAAGTGAGTTAAGTCTCTTATCACTGATGTGAGTTGGTCACTGTAAGTTATTTTTTAGGTAACCACATTTTTGCTATTATAGTCAATATAGACTAAAATAGTGCTGCATTTGGTTAAATAATCTTAATAATTGTTGGTTTGCAGATTCTGAGACTGACACCATGCAACTTCTACTGGTCAATTGTTGGTGCAGAAAAGGCCCCCCATGCACCCCTCCCATTCCACAGTCAAGGTAAACCCAACTGAACTCTGAAGGAGAAATGCTCAATGCTGTAAATGACTTTTTGGGATTTGTCCAGTTGCTAGAATTCCACTATTATTTTGCCAATGAGAGTGAAACAATCATTTTTGCCATTAATTTCAAGAAAAATTTGCCTAATAGTCCAAAATGAAATTGGCTTGATTGCCCCAATTTTCCTGTGGGGAATCATGCTGGCATGCTTAGAGGTTAGAGCTGCAGCTGCTACTTCTATTTACCTTAAAAAGAGCAAAAAAACATGTCATTTTACATGAGAGAAAACCTAGCATATAAATACTACTTATAGTTTTTTAAAAATCTTGTTAGTTTAGTAATAAGTAGGCATTCATGTGTTAAAAATATGTGTTAAATTGCATGTGTTAAAAATATCTGCTTCTGAGTACTAAAATCTTTTCACTTGATTTGCAGCTAAATTCAGGCATTGAAAAGTTCTTTTTTCTGACAATGGTAGCTGTGCATAAACAAGTGAGATGAGACTCCAGTCATAATTATATAGACTATTACTATAGTGTGAGGCACTGTGGTGCAGTCTTGCCCAGATAAAGCTTAAACTAATCAGAGAGTAGGTATACACCTTATCAGAAAACTTGAAGTAAACTCATTACATTGATGTATAGGTGGCCAAGTGTGGAAAACTGCAATTGTTAACTGTAATATCATTGCTAAATATGATAAATCTTGCAGATTATAAAAAATTAATGTATCAAAATTTTACTAACCAAAATCCTGCATTTTTCAAGATTAATTTGCCTGTTTTGTGGCTCAGAGATTGCATCTCAATGGGCCTGTAAAAATCAGTGCAAAATAATTTAAAATGAAACAAAAATATAATAATGAGCAGTTGTGCACTAAGTGTTCAAAAAAGTACCTATACTCTATATTATCAGTTTTAGCCAGGATTATTCTGGGACATTTTGTTATATTTTATATGATAGCAGAGCACAGGTTCCAATACTGGTGATTTTCCTATATATAGCAGTTTAGCATAGGTATATATGGTAGGTACCAGTACTAGGTATATTATTTTATAGGCACTAGTGATAATGAAGAATACCTCAAAGGGGGTGGATAGCTAGACTTCAGCATAGCCCAAGTCCACAGTGCGATTCATATACCTTCCCGAGCGTAACGCAACCAGGCATCTTCACAGCTTTTGACACAAAGCACCCACCACAACAGCGCTGTTCAGTCACAGGCCGCAGCGCATACAGGCCGGAGCGCAGCAGGCCCTACCGCAACAGCTACTCCTAATGTAACTTGACCTAACCTAACCTGTGCCTGTTGGGTAGGTTAAGGTAGGGCCTGTTGCGCTCTGGCCAGTTGGGCTCCGGCGCTGTGAAGCAGTGGCTGCGTTGTGCACAGCAGATTTACTGTTAGCCAGATTTACCCACAGCTCATTGATCTGAGGCTATGTGTAGATATTGCATGCTGATGGTTGGCATTAGGCTCAGGGCCTGTTTACGAGTCAATTTTGTTACCCACGGCTGCGCTCCCCCTCAAAGGGAGGCTCCAAGTCAGACTCAGAAATCCTGAATAGTAATTACTTCCGGTAGCTCTTATGGTTAAATTAAACACACAATACATGCAAGTTTAACTATGAATGTAGGATGCACAAAACCAAATTTAATGACTTCATCCAAATAATTTAATTTGATGTTAAAACTGACTATACATTTTCCTCCGCCGCTCATTGTTCAAGCAAAAAAAAAAAAACAAGGCAAGGAAATTTTTATGACCCTAGGGATCAAGAAATTTCAAGCTTAACTTGTTTGAAATTCAATTGTAATGCAGGTTTACTAGAATTAATGAAAATAAAATTTTAGCGTATCTACCACAAGCGAGATAATGTGGATAAGAAGAGCCAACAAGTTCTTTTTAGGAATTAGATTTTCAACAACAATCTGGGATGAGGAATTTTATCGTTGCGTTCGAATAAAAGTGCATTTAGGCGGCTAAAAATCCGGAGTGCACGAATGTCGGAAACACAAACTGTTCTTAACTTAGAAGGTTTTCAATCAATAAAGTCAATTTCTTTTGCTGACTTGTTTGTCCATATAATGTATTTAATAAAATGCGATTAATTGAGACTATGACAAGAAATAATCAGAAACAAATAAATAAATCACATATGCAGAGTTTGCTCAGGGATCTGCATGACTTCGGTGTTATTTTCCGGCTTTTCTGGAGTCCCTCCGAACATTTCCGCGATTTCCTCCGCTGTTTTGCCTTTAGTCTCCCTGACCATCAGGACTGAGAAGAAGAAGCTTACGACGCACATGCCTGAGAAGAGCCAGTACACTCCGTAGTCGTGGATGGCTTCCTGTTTAAAGTTTCAATTATATTTATACTGCGTGGTGAAGTTTATTGTGTTCAATCCGAGCGACAATTGAAATTTGAAAAGCAGAATATTCGATATAATGTTTTTGTTTTATTTTAGAATCTATTATGTTCCATTTTTCAATGAAGATTGCATAAAAAATCATACATGTAAATATAGCAAACCGTATGTGAACTATATTTCAGAAGTTCAATCCTATTTAAACGTAGAATTTTCATATAAATAATCATACTGACAACACACACCACTGACCATTGTTGCTGATAACGCACACCACTGATTATTTTTAGTTAAAACTACACCACTGACCATTTCTACTGATACTTATGCATAGTACTGCGTTAAAATATAAAATCTGTCAACTAATTGTTATTCAATATTACAAGTAATTGAAACGTGACATGAGCTGAAATTACCTGTAATGGTGCGAAAATGAGCGTAATGATGAACGAAAATAACCAAGATGTGATCGCCACGATGCTTCCTGCAAGCTCCTTCACGTCAGCTGAGAAAATCTCGCCTGCACAGACAAGCTGAAAATGGACAATTTCGCCTGCAAAGACAAGCTGAAAATTGACAATCTCGCCTGCAAACACAAGCTGAAAATGGACAATCTCGCCTGCAGTGACAACAAGTTGACTAAAAAACAGTCTCATCTGTGCAGACGACAAATTGACAGAGGAAAACTTTTTTGCGTCTGCACAGACGACCAGTTTACAAATAAAAATCTCGCGTCCGCAGACGAAAAGTTGACCAAGAAATAGTCTCGCCTACGCAGACGAGTTAACAAATAGGACATCTGAGATAACATGTACAGCAGCTTCGACAAGAAGTTTATTGCGTCGTATCCTCATATTCGGTCACTTTTAAAATGAAATAGAGCTAATTTTTTTTAGAAATTCGACAATACTCGGTAGAGCTTTCCATACTTCATGTATTCATAGAAATTCAAGCGAATATATTCCTGTATATCAATGAAATTGAATTTATCAAATTTACTTCAGCATGATATTCACCCATCATAACCCAAGGGATGGGCCCAAACCCAATGCTGAAGGCGAAGATGAAGATCATGAGGGAGGTGATGGGTAGCCAACTCAAGTTAGAAGCTTTGTCTTCACTCAGCAGGTAGAAATATATGCCCATGGACGCTGTCATGAAGAAAAGAAATGGTTTTCATGACCGCGATGGAATCGTTATGCTTAAATTCATGTGGTACAAAAATTGTTATATGCTCATGATTTATGAAATAAACAATACCCCTGTGGACGCTGTATGAACAATGATTATTTCCATATATATACTGAATTAACTGTTGCAAAACATGCAATCGCTTTTGTCTGTAAAACATGCAATCGCTTCTGCCTTTTAATGACTTGAGTAAATATGTAATGTTAAAAATATTGAGTGATGTTATTAACATCGGTCGAATATTGTTCCTCAATCAAGTCGATCATTATTCACAATGTCGCTAATATTTTTAGTCAAGATTTTCACAAGTTCCAGAAGCAGACTAGACGCCAATGGTGACGGGAGCTAACACGACTCTGATTCCGCGACAGAATGTTGTTAATTTTAATCAATAAATAAATAATTAAAATATGCTTTCAGTTGCCCGCAGAAATTTAATCGACTGCGTTCCAAAAAAGTGTTATGTGTCCATTGCGCTATTTTTATTTTACGCTGCTGTTGTGCACATTTGTGTAGGCATTTGGCCATGCGTAACCCTGTTGCCTCCTAAGCATATAATATAGTTCATCTAATTTCATTATCAATAATTCCAACTTAATTCTCTTGAGTACACGTCACGAAAATTGCAATAAGCGGCATTAGCCCAAACCGGGCCTATTCTGCAGCGCCGATGGTGATTTATACTAATCACTCTGTAATCAACTTGAATATTGAGCACTCCCCTCTCGTTATATGATTAAATATATATAAAAATTAATTTGGTATTTTTGAAATTTTGTTTGGGGTTTCATTTTCAGTTACAGCAATTCTTGAATCATTTTGAATCATTAGAATGAATGTGTAATAATATCACCTTGAGACGCGGCCAGCACCACTGATGACCCGATGAGCAGCGGCCTCCTGCCAGCTCTGTCCATGAGGGCGGCGGCCACGGCGGTGGCCACCACCTGCACCACGGCCACCAAGATGCTCGAGTTCTCTGCGGACATGTCCGCCTCGGCACTCTGCCGCCATTTAATAAATTATTTCAATCGAATTTAAAAAATGACTGAAATTACCATTATAATAATAATTTTATTCGAAGCAATTCAACCCGTACAGTTAGATGATACAGAATGATAGATTCTGCAAATTAGCTTTTTTTTACGATTTCACTTATAGCAAAAAAAAAAAAAAAAAAATCCCATAGGCTTTGAATACTTAAGTTCATATCATATAAAGAAACAAACTTTATATTCAGCCAATCCTTTAAATCTATTATGCATATGAAGATATTCATTCTTCTTCACTTAACAACTTTTCAGAGATAATTTGCAACCATTTGGTTCGTCGTCTTTATTCAGCCGTCAATAACTTGCTTCAAATATTGTGGTGAGGTTGAACAAGATTGCGTTGATCCCCGAAAATTGTTGAAAGACCATCAAGACGACAGAGATGAGCAGGGGTCTCCTGATGTGAGGTCTGCCCAGGTCTCTGAACGAAGCTCTGTTGTTGCGGGCAAAAGCAACGGCGTCTTGAAGACGCGTCAACTCCGCGTCAACGTTGCACTCTTTGCCTGGGGGCGCATTTGGCCAGATGATTTGTTTTGAAATTTGTTATCATTTATTTAACTTTATTTATTTTTATTGTGACATCGATTTATAACTGATGCTTTGAGGAAATTTTATGGCATAGGCCTGATAAAGTTCGACCTAGCTTTTGGCTTTTATTGCAGAATTTATCAGTTTACTTATGCATATCAATTGGATAGGGATGCATGGAAAAAATCGATGATGTGTAGAAAAGGGCCTAATTTTAATATTACACTTTATTAAATAAACATGTTTCTATGAATTTGAACTATTTCGGTTGCGTAAAAATTAAAAGGTTCAGAGCATATATTAAAAAAGTATGCATTTTGGTACTCAGGCAGTATTCGTTGGGCTATTATTCTGTGCTGGAAAAAGGCAAATATTCACAAAACGTTTACTGGCACTTTTGATTGTGTACAATTCTCTATTCTATGGTATTATTACCTCCTTTTTCTGTCCTCATTAATTTAAAGCCAATTTTTTAGTCTTGCTGTATATGCAGGGCAACTGATAGTTAAATCTTCCGACACTTGTATCATAGCGATGTCGGCCCTGAAGAATAGGCCTGCATAATGTGGCCTGTCGCCGGTTCTTGTACTTTTCGTGACTTGTTCACAGGAGATGTATAAACAGGTCATTTGACCGGATCTTTTCAAACTGACATTAGTTTGAAATAGCTACTAGACTTCAACCAGGCTCGAGATGGTGCTAGGCATTTCAAGTCTGAACATATACTTCTCCGTAGCTTTATCTAGTCTGTTCTTGAATACTCGGAGCGTCAACGATGAAATCGGAGAGGCTGTTCCACATGTCGGTGACTCAAAGCGAGAAGAAGTACTGTCGGGTGGATGAGTTGCAACGCAGTATTTTTAGTTTATAGCTGTTGTCCGTGGTGTTGATTCTTGTTTCAAATTCTAGTAATCGTTGCAGGACCTTGTAAAACCACGAGTATGCTTGTATACTTTAATGAGATCTGCACCATGCAGACGTCTATAACAGAGGCTTGGAAGCTTCATAATCTTGCATCTTTCTTCGTAAGGCTTGCCCTTCAAGCCCGGAATTATCTTTCTTGTACGTCTCTGAACATTCTGTACTAAAATTTTGTCCTTCTCAAGTTTCGGTGATCACGCGGCGTTTCCAAACTTTAGGCTCAGGCGCACGATAGCAACAAACAACAGCGTCATCGCATCTGCATCTATGAACTCGCATGAGCGTCTAATCAGCCCAAGAAGTTTATTGGATTTATTAGCTTGCCTTCCAATATGTCTACAAAATTTCAGCTCCTTGTCGACATTAACTCCCAAAACGTTTTCCAATCTAGACTTTTCAATCATTACTCTCTCGTTGCAACCATGTCTTCTCATACTGTAATCTTGCTGTTCATTGTTCTTCCCGAGGTGAAGTACTTTACACTTGTCAGCATTAAACTGCATCTGCCACGTCTCAGCCCAGTTCACTAAACTATCAAGATCATGTTGCAATTGCACTTGATTTGATAAATCCTTAACTGTATTATAAACTTTTGTGTCATCGGCGTTCATGGAGCACACTTTTGACACTACTTCTGGCAGATCGTTTATAAAAGCAACGAACAAAACAGGCCCAAAAATGCTTCCTTGTGACACGCCACTGAGCACTGATGCCCATGCAGTCTGATACGGTTCCGTTAATACTGACACGTTACCGTCTACTTACTAGAAAATCTCTGATTCATTCTAGTACATTTTCCTCTATTCCTAAAGATTTCACTTAACGCAACAGCCGCTCATGCGGAACACTGTCAAATGCTTTGGCAAAATCGAGGTACAATGCATCCACTGGCTCCCTTTCGTCCAGCAGACGACACGTAGACAAGACGTGGCGGCGTAAGGATAGACAAGAGGATAGCGGCGTAATCTACCGGCAATAAAGCCATGTTGACAGTCTGATAGGGGATGGTGAACAGTCAAGTGATCGATAATCATATCCTATTTAAGTTAGGAGTATTTTTAGACTCAAGTATTTAGTAGCGATACAGCAATTGACTATTTGTGTAGGTGCAATTTCCGTGCATAATCAGGCCTGTGTAGTGGTTTACAAGTACTTTTAAAGCTTACAACTTAATGATCGTGACCAAGATATTACTTTTTCAATGACTAAGAGATCGGCGCAATTAAGTTTTTATACCTCTAAAGTGTTGCATAGACATCCTTGCGTCTTCATGCTTGTCTTTGGCGAGCAGGTAACTTGGAGACTCCTTGTTGAAGACCATCAAGACGCTGAAGACTACGGCGGGCAGCAGACATGTCAGGGCGAGCCACTGCCAAGACTCAAGGGCACCAAACACGTACACGAAAAGCACACCCACTGTCACCATCAGCTGGAAGCACGAACCTTGCGGACGACATCACAAATTAAATTTTCGTTTTGATTAGAGACGCAGAAGTTAGGTCAGTGAAAAAGTCCTGTAATGGGCAAGTTTGTGAATATTAATTGGCCCAAATTTGGGTTTTCGTTGTCATTATTGCTGTTTTCATTTTGACTAAGAGAGTTAGATTATATAAATGCAAAATTCCATGCATGAATGTGTTATTTGTTACCGTTCCGTATATTACAGACAATTTTGCTACGATTTTGACAACTTTTGTCATGATAATTTTGCAAAACACCAGATTTTAACTTTGCTGATGTAATTGCAACTTAATTCACGTGCGTTTGAATTTGTCTAATGAAAAGAATTCTTTCCTCACCCAACATCCCCCTGATGTCGGGGGAGGCGATCTCCCCGATGTAGGTGGGGACGGCGATGGTGGCGACTCCGGCGCTCACGCCAACAAAAATTCGGCCCGCGATCAGCATTGCAAAGTTCGATGCCAAGCCTGGCGGTAGGTTGCAATAGTGAGATGCAATTACTTCATTAGTAAAATAATGCTCGCACTTGTCAATACAGCAAAAAAAAAAAAAACGTTAACGAACACATTTAAATTAACAAGGTACATGTTTCCAAGCATGCATGCTCTCCTAGCGTGATCATCATTCTCACTTACATTATCTCAGCCGTAAAACATCACAGTTTTAGCGCATTTTCTCATTTATGAAAAAATGCACTATTGTGCTCGCCATGTCCGTCTGTCTGTCCGTCCGTGACTTCACGTTTTCGTCGATGAGAAAATGCTCTCTCTGTCACTCACTGCAGTGAGTACTGAGTTATATTTATTTAAATATTTTTACATGGATCTATTTTTCTCACCTATAAGTGCCCACCCCAGCACGTTGGGCACGAGGCAGCCGATCATGGTGCCCCGCCGCCCGATCCAATTGATGCCCAGACCCCCAAGCACCACGCCCAGGATGGCTCCAACGTTGACGATGGAGCTGAACCATGAGAGCTGAGAGTCGCTCAGTGGTTCTCCTCCAATTAAAGAATAATTTGTTTCATTAGCCAAGGCTCCCAGCTGAGCAGTGCTTGGTGATGAATACGAGGTGTTAGATCCAACAGTTAAGGCACCGAAAGTGCAACAAGCGGTGGCGATGTATTGAGTTAGGTACGTCTGTTTGTTTTTAACTAAATTCTCGTCGTCCTCCATTGCACGATTCAAAAAACACACATGCGCGGTAACTTATTGATGTAGAACTTGAGTGTCTTAGGGATCTTTTTATCAAGAATCAGCTGCGAATAGTTGCTTCATATTACCGTAATGTTTCACTGAGTGTCATTTGCTTGATTGCTGAAAGAATAAACTCAACTTCCAGATCTTGAGATCAGAAACTTCTCACTACTGTCACGACTACCCTCCTCGTTAGTCTCCACTACGTGAAAGCGGTTGAAGACTTCACTCGCCATGCCATTTCGTGCCGTGTTATCTCGTAATTTGTTGTTGCAGCTGATTGCCTGGTAGAGATTATATATCATTGTTTGTTCCAATACATCAACTTTATTGACTAAGCGACTGATAGCCCCTAATGCACTCCGCCCAGTGTCATTACAATCAATATGGTCTAACGTTTGATAACACCTTCTAGTTAGAAAATTGTGATTTTAGTCATATGGGACGATTAAAACATGAAATTGTTGTGAATGACCCGCAAAAATTGATCGATGACAGGATTACATGTTCCCAAATAAAACAATATGTCTTATCGGTTATCCATTGATTGTCACACGCAATCATATTTTGATGTCATCTTCTATTTGGTGTATGACTTTCCTATTCTCTTCTACAGCTGTGCGCAAATATTCTGTTGTTGCTCTGAGCGCAAACAAAAAAGCCGTAAAGCTGTGAATGTCTTTATAGAAACAAAACTTATTACCTACATTTATTAGTCATATGGACGTTATGTTTTCGTTCTAAAATATACAACAGTCCGCATTTGTTTTCATTCTTACATGCAAAAAGTTAACAATAGTGGAAATTGATTGAATGAATCCACGTATTTAATTTAAGGACATTGGTTTTGGTATATAGATCTTTCCACACATTGCGTGTAATCTCTATGATTTCATCACCAGAAGGCGAAGCCACTGAAATCAAGCCTTGAATGAATTTCGTTTGAATTTGTCTAATAAAAAGAATTTTGTATGTAATTTTGTAAAGAATGTAATATCATTGCTAAATGTAAAGAACTGTTTCACATATTCCGGCATTCTGCGAATGAAAAATATTAGGTGTTTTAGGATATTGTCGCGAATAAAATCAGCTGTTTGACTCAGGAACGCCTCTTGGTCATTTTTGTCCTCCTACAGTTGTCGTGCTCACTACTGCTGGGCGTGGGCTGGGGCTGGACCTCGACACGCATCCTTAACAACCACGCTGCCTTTTTTTATACCCCTACAGCCATGGAGCGACATGAAATATTGTGAAGAGCACAAATAAACATCGACTATTACGACATACAGAAAAGAAGAAGACGTCCTCCGGAATGCCATGGACAAGGGTCAAGGAGCGCGGAGTGGGAGGTTGAAAGACTCGTAATATTGAACCTGCATTACAATAGTACAATACAATACATGAACCTGCATTACAATAGTACAGTGCAGTACATATACCTGCAATAAAATAGTACAGTGCAGTACAACCTGCATTACAATAGTACAGTGCAATACATGAACCTGCGTTACAATAGTACAGTGCAGTACATGAACCTGCATTACAATAGTACAATGCAGTACATGAACCTGCATTACAATAGTACAATGCAGTACATGAACCTGCGTTACAATAGTAGAGTGCAGTACATGAACCTGCATTACAATAGTACAGTGCAGTGCATGAACCTGCGTTACAATAAATTTAGTCGTTCGTTGCCGTGCATTAGTTACTAATTATAATTTCAGATATTACTCCATTCATGCTACTTGTACGAAAACGATAAAGTACAATCATTATATTCGACTACAAAGGGAAGTTCCTGGCATTTATATTAAACAATTTTAAACGTTAAATGATATAAGCAAGTATGCTGAAAGAAGTTATGCCTATCAAAGAATATTGCTCGAATGTTTGTAAACCACTAGTCAATGTTCACATGAATACGTGTAGAATACATTTATATTTTATTGATGTCACGTAAAATTGTTTTCAATTTAGCCCACATGTTCTTAGTCCAATAGTCCAAAATGCAGAATTCTCTATATCATGAGTAACTATTTATTCTTTTATTTATAACATCGCATTGCAAATTATTGCTATACATTCTACCGCACTAAATTTCTCGTCTACTCACTGAGGGAGATGACCATGCTGCCAGTGTACAGTATGAGCAGTATTTTTCTGCCAGCGATGTTTTCGTCTTACCACCAAAGTAAATTAATGCCAAAAATTAGGCCGCACTAAATCGAATTTATTATTTAATCACAGAGTTAACGCCACCTGCACCTGCAACGTCGCACCTGTGGGCACAAGAGAGACCCAACGCTGTAGGCGTACAGCAACCCTAACGCCACCTGCACCTGCAATGTCACACCTGTGGGTGATAGTTCAGCGACATCGTAGTGACGGCAACAGTCTTCAACATTTATGAGTAATAAAGATGCATTGAATGCTTTAATTTTAAATTTAAAATAATGCTGTTGTTTTAAGGTTGATTTGAATAATGTGGGAATTATTTCCAAAGTTAAGCTAATTGACCATTTAAATTTTTTACGTATTTCATCGTTGCATTGAATGCGGTTGTTTTATTGCTCTCGGAACTATTTCCCGAGTTTTCACTGGGGAATCAGTGTTCAACTTCATCGTAGTGACGACAATATTTTGAACATTTTACGAATTTTAAAGTTGAATCTATTGCTTTAGTGTTTAAGTAGCCTAAATGCTGTTGTTTTAAAGTTGCATTGAATGCCATTGGAGCAGTTCTCTAAGTTTCCTGTTGACCAGAGTTTAGCCAAATAGCCACAGGTTCGTTGAGACAGGAATATTTTTAACATTTTATGAATTCTCAACTCAGGTTGAATGCTGCTGGTATTATTTTTATCAGCGCCACCATGGGCGAAAGTTTGAATTTTAAGGACGGAGGGAGGTAACAATTTTAAAATTGTCGAATTTGAGCGAATTATTATAGTGAAATTTAATTTTAGGGTAATTTAAGTTAATATAGTGAAATGTAATTAATTATTTTAATTTTTACCTTAATTTATGTTTTACTTTTTATCATGTATGATGAATTCACAAATATTATCAACAATATAATTTTTTATGTCGCGTACAGAGCAAGCATAATATGCATCCAAAGTACACAGTCAACAATTCAGTGTACAGTGACCAGTTCATTGTATTGTTGCAGCGAGTACAGCGTGACTTCATTGTCATCGCTGAGGTTTGTACTATGACTTGTAACCGTGACACTGAACTCTGTTATCTTTGATCGTATCCCTGATACGACACTCTATTTAGGCCTATCGCCTTTGCACTGTCAACATGCGGAATCTTCTTTCGTGTACTTGTGCATAAATTCATTTTCATTTGGATTTCCCTATAATAATAATTATTAAACGTATATTGAATTTTAAAGAAGAATGTCTGACATTTGTTAGAATTTAACCCCGGAAAATATTTCAATGTTTTCATCAGGGGAACGAAATGGAGTGAGTATAATTAAATAAAGAAAATTGAATTAATTGAATTGAAAAATTTAATTTAATAAAGAAAGTTTTATTTATTTACCTGAAATTTACCTAAATAAATGAATAAATAATAATGCTAATATTCATATAAAGTAGTAGTAATATTCATTTATGAAATCTTTCTCGACTGTTCAATGAATAATTAATGTCATTAGTTTGATAAATTCACTTTAATCAATTTTGTTAAGTTACCGATGACGCATCTGAAGTCTGCGTGGGCGATGTCACGCAGGTACGCAGGAACTGAGAACGACAAAATTCCCACACAAACACCGCAGAACAAACGTCCTGCGATCATCATCCCAAAGCTTGTGGCAAAACCTGTTAAAATAAATTAATTCAAAAAACAATATTTGTGAATGTTTTTATACATAGAATACGTTACACTTGCATTCAGATCTAAGTGTGAGAAGGATTCATCTGTGTTGAATAATGTTGAAGCCAACAGAGTTTAATCAGTTTCATGAGTGGCTAAATTTCAATTTGTTCAGTGAAATTTTATAGTATTTTTACGAGAAATTCCGTCAATTCAGATAACTTTATTGCAAAATCGTATCATAATCGTTACAATGTACTCACCTATGAGAGACCAACCTATCATGAACGGTGCAATGGTCATGAGCATTGTAGCTCTCGGTCCGATCAAGCGTGAGGAAATACCAGCCAGAACCGTCCCTACCATCGCCCCCATACCTACCATTGACGAGAACCACGATACCTGAACAGGGTTCAGGTGTTCACCGTCAGGTAGCGAACATTTCGTACTGTTAGCACCGAACTGCAGGTCTATCCCAGCTGACGATGAAAATCCTATGGCGCTGCCTATGCAAAACGCACCGAGCCCCGCGCCTATCGCCGTCACGAACTGGGGGACTGCTGATGGCTCGATGTCATTCAAAAATAAACTAGAGGGTTCTGAGCTCGACATAGTTTAATGTTCAATGTGTTTTCTTATTTATAATTTCACTGAGATTGAACTTGAAATATTCAATCGAAGAAGATCATCATCTTTATATTTTCACGCGAATTGAGCACCAACACTTCAGTTTAACTTACACAAATTTGTGTATTGTAAAAGAGAACATATTTCTAATGAACCTTATTGAGGACATGTTTCTAGACCTGAAATTTTAATTATTGCCACCACTGTTCCATAAGATTCATTTTAACGCCACTTTACTTCGATATACTTTAATTTTCTATGGAAAACTGCACTCGTGTGTTCTGCATTCCATCATATATTATTATGTTTTATTTAATTCCATTCCATATTATTAATAACTTGTTTTTTATCCCTTGTAAATTGTTATGATCACAAAATATCACGTGTAAGATATCCGTTCAGCTGCCACTCTCTTCGCTGACTAACTTGTTCAACACCTCGCACTTGAGACACCATGGCGAGTCAACATCACAACACCTGCACAACATATTTATTTGCAACAGTTGAAACGCATAACGATCTTTCATCTCCTACATCCGTTAGGTTTGCTTAGGTGAAATTGTAGTGTTGATAAATTCAAGTCTGCTAGCTGCACACGAGACGCGTATGAGATGCCAGGTATATACGAGACTCATAATGATTTTTATTCTTATGCGTATTTTTATTGTTTTAGGTTTATTAGAGATAGTACGTTTAGTGGATAAATAAAAGTATGCTAGATGTGTTTCAGACGAGTAAATATCAGCATACTATGTAGGTCTCTCTTATTTGTTTTATTTGCGAAACTGTTGACGAACTGTCATCGAAAATGAATTTTTTTCGCTTATTAAACGCCTGCATTCCCTTATTGATCAATGTTTGCAATTTATAGAGAATATAATACAATTTTATGAAGTACTTCAGGGTATTTTGCTGACCATTAAAATGAAAGGACCCTCTTCTGACAGCTTTTATTGTCGCTGCTAATTATTGATGATCGAGCAAATATATGAAATTATTATGCAAATTTTGCGGCCTCTCCTAAAATTACTTGCTACATTTGAGTGCTCTGGGCGAATTTAATGCCACAATTTGGGGAATATAGGAAAATTAATTGATATATTCGAGGGCTCTGGGGGAATTTATTGCTACATTTTGCGGGATTTAAGGAAATTGATTGATGCATTTGAGGGATCTGTGGAATTTATTGCTATTTTTAAAAGTATTTTTGGGAAATTAATTGCTTCATTTTGATATAGCAGAATTGATAGCTACATTTTGTGAGCTCTGAGAGAATTTATTTTGATATTTTGAATGCTCTGACAAAATTATTTGCTAAACATTTTAAAGGCTGTGGGGGAATTAATTGCTAATTTCTTTAGGTTTTCTTATTGCTAGAGAGGAGATGTATTTAAATTTGTTTTCACCGAACACAAATGTGCTGTTTTTTTCACTGAATACAAATGTTCTGAATGTCTAATATTAAAGAGAAAAAGAATTTACAGAATATTTCAGAGAGCTTTCGATTAGAGATCAATATTTAACAGAAATGAAAAATCGTCGTGTGCGCTAGGAGGAAAAATGTTCTTCGCTAGAAACGCATCCTCTGTAAACTCGCAGAAACGAATTAATAAATAATATCTAATATAGATAAGATTTATAATAAAATGAATGATTATACTTGGACGGTTATTCCATTAGAGGATGGAAAATTCTCTTACATCATAGATCATCATACGTACATCAAAATTCTTAAAGCGCTTACATCATAAGTAGACAGCTTCTAATACTGGTATGTTTGTATAACTTATCAGACATGCATGGACATAGTTTATTTAAAACCACGCTTAGTTATTTATCCTGGGTGTGGACTTCATGTCTCATTTCAACCAAACTGATATCGAATTCAATGAATCATTAAGGTTTCTGCTGGGTCAAAAAGTGCGTACACTGCACCTCTATTTTGATTTAATTTCTGATAGTCAAATCATATCTGTGAGTAAAACCCTGTAAAGATTTCACTATCACTACGTCATTGAGATTAAAATTTATACACCTACGAGGAAATTATAGCTGTGATGAGTCGATGGGGAGATTTTTCGGACCAGGATTTTTATCAAAATTTCCTCCAAACATCATTGTGATTTCTTCGGGAGTTTTTCCTTTGGTTTCTTTGACGAAGATAATCGTGAATATGCAGCTGATGACGCACATGCCGGAGAACAGCCAATAAGCGCCGTAATTGTGGATAGCTTGCTGCAACAATATATATAAAATATAAACGAAATGAGCAGAGCGATCGAGACTTCTTGTACATGACAAAAAACTCTTAGTAATTATTTTCAGGTAAATATGAATTGCACGATAACAAAATAATTGACCATTGATTCCACGGTCTTTCTTGAGCGATAAAATTTCAAAGTTACGTTGCCCAGACAATTTAAACGTCATTGATTTGAAAAAGTCTACATTGTTCATGGTTGTGTTTCGTGAAATAATTTCCGAAATATGTCATTCCAGAAAAAGTTTCATGACGCTTTTTCAAAAAGGCTTTTCTCTTTTTCAGTTGAATATATGAGTATATCGTGATCTTTTGATATCTATATCGATTTTGCTAGTGACCTCACAACCCCTTCGCTCTGTACAACCTCCCTGGTCCACGAATGCTCGTAATAGTTATTGCAGTTTTACCGCGATATTCACGATTGAATTCAAAATTACTTAACGGTTATAAATACACCCATTGATATCTGGCAAACCCGGGAAGTTAACGATACCTGAAGAGGGATAAATATTAATGTTGTCGTAAATGATGCGAACCACGACACTAAAGCCGCCATACTTCCCGCCAGCTCCTTCACGTCTGGGGAGAACAGCTCACCTGTCAACCAAGATTAAGTTATTAATTCACATTCATTTAATTTTTATGAACCGGGATGAAGCACATACATTCATCTGATGTAAACATATGATTTCGAGTGGCAAAATTATCCCTTATTTGCATTATCCCTTACCTTGTATATACTGGATATTATAGATTTATATTATTCAAACTTCTCACATGAATATTATATTGTGTAAAAGAATAGGTTATACTCAATGTTAGAAATAAAAAAATTAAAAATAATGAATCACACATTTCAAGATATTCTAACTAGGAGTTCTTACAATTTCTGATTGAATTTCGTCCGTATTTGATTTCTTAACTCAACACAAAAAAAAATCCATGGCTTACCGAGCAAGATCCAAGGTATGGGTCCAAAGCCAGTGTTGAAGGCAAAAATGAACACCATGAGTGAAGCCACGGGCAGCCAGTCGAACGAGTCCGCATTATTCTCGCTGGGCAGGTAGAAGTACGCTCCCATTGAACCTGCATTACAATAGTACAATACAATTCATGACATTGCATTACAATGGTACAGTGCAATACATGAACCTGTATTGCAATAGTAGAGTGCAGTACATGAACCTGCGTTACAATAGTAGAGTGCAGTACATGAACCTGCATTACAATAGTACAGTGCAGTACAACCTGCATTACAATAGGAGAGTGCAGTACATGAACCTGCGTTACAATAGTACAGTGCAGTACAACCTGCATTACAATAGGAGAGTGCAGTACATGAACCTGCATTACAATAGTAGAGTGCAGTACATGAACCTGCATTACAATAGTAGAGTGCAGTACATGAACCTGCATTACAATAGTACAGTGCAATACATCAACCTGCATTACAATAGTACAGTGCAGTACATGAACCTGCATTACAATAGTAGAGTGCAGTACATGAACCTGCGTTACAATAAATGTAGTCGTCCGTTGAACTTGCAATAGTTACTTATTATAATTTCAGATATTACTCTATTCTTTTTACATTTACGATAACGATAAAGTATAAGCATTATATTCGACTACGTAGGGAAGTTTCTGGTTTTCATTTTAGCCCAAGCGTGTTTAGTCCATGACGCAGAATTCTTCAAATCATGAGAAATTATACATTTATTTTTAACATCACAGCAAATAATTTCTACATACTCTACAGCGCAAAATTTCTCTTCTAATCACTCAGGAAAATGACCATGCTGTCAGAATGAGCAGCATTTTTCTGCCAGCGATGTTTTCGTCTAAACACCAAAGTAGAAATTATTACGAAAAAATCTGAAAAACAAAATCGAATTGATTATTTAATCACCTAGGGAGATGGCCATGCCGCCGGTGGACAAGACGAGCAGTATTTTCCTGCCTGCCTTGTCCATCAGTCCTGCGGCCACCAAAGTGGCCGCTATCTGCGCCGAGCCGACCACGATGCTGGCCACGTTTGAAGTGATGCTCATTTTCGCGCTCTGAAATATAAACATAATTTGAGAAAGAAATAATATATTTCTTTCTTAAATTATTAAATTCAATTATTAAATATTTCTAGTTGATGGGAAATCATCCAATATGGATCGTCTTTGGGTGAAAATTAATCTTGTGGTCCCTGATAGATTTGTGAACGAAGAATTAATTATATTAATTGCACGGTTATTTATGCTTTTATTGAAATATTACATTGGATGAACTGTTTTCAGAGAACTCCATGTTTTCATCTATGTCAACAAACTTTAATTATTCTGATTTTTGATCACCTCAAAAATGACTTTTAAATTGAACAGAATTGCGTTGACTCCTGAGAACTGTTGAAACGCCATCAGCGTCAACAAGATGATCAGCGGCCTGCGGATGTGAGGCTTGCCCAGGTCCCGGAACGAGGCCTTGTTCTCCTGAGCCCAGGCGACGGCTTTCTTAAGACTCAGCATTTCAGGGTCGATATTGTATTCTTTGCCTGTTGGTTTAAGAAATGCTTGGAGTTGTCATCTGTGGCCGTACTAGCAAAAATATAACAAGTCAATCAATCTTTTACAATTTTTCAAGCTAAACATATAACAATCATGGACAAGCAGGCCGCTACGTGTGCTCAGGCAGCATAGAAAAACTAATTCAAAACTCAGGCCTCATTTGGAAAACTAATTCAAAAAAGGAGCATCTGGAGCATTTCCACATAATCCAATACGACTTGAAGTCGAAGAACTGTCTGTGATAAGTAGAAATATATAAAAGAATGCCTTCGCAAATTTTTGAAATTTGAGACTTGGGTACAGAGGAACACAGACATTTCGGAATAGTATAGAATAATTATTAATGGGCTCAAAATTGTTCAATATTAAGCGTTTATTTTTTCAGGTGGTATTCAAATTTCCATTAAACCTTATCGATAACCTTATTGCTTTTGAAGGTATTCCCGAAGTTGTTTAATTTTAGTAAGAAAAAAAAATCACTTTGCGGAAACACGCATCTCTCACACACAAGACGATTATTTCTGAATATTTCATATTTATTATTTCTCCATTTGCTCATCATTTATATGACAGATGCAAACAGACACACAGTTGCACCCATGCAGTCTGACAAAGTTTATATATTATTTTAGTTTGAGCTCACTAAGTCTCAGCCCATATAGATCACCTCTGAACCTCTGAAGGGATGCACGTGCTTGATCTTCCTTTTCTTTGGACAAGAGATAAGCGGGCGACTCTTGGATGAAGATCATCGACAGCGCGAATATCACCGCGGGGGCGACCGTTGAATCTTCCGTCTGAATATATTATTTCTAATAAATATGTATATAATAAGTATATTTTTTACCAGTTGTGACTTATATAAGTTGATGATAACCTTGCTGACAGCTTGATCTTCTGTCTGAATATATTATTTTAAATAACTACAATGTTTCAGTTCAATCATTTATAACGCTTAAATTTAAATAGCCTGAGAAATTATATGAGATATGAAAATATGAGAAAATTATTTTTATTCATAACTATTTTATGAATAATTAGTATTATGAATAATTACTCACCAATTTGCGCCCATCCAAGAATGAAAGGCAACAAACTCGCTATCATGGCTCCCCGTCTGCCGATGACTTTAATGGCATATCCACCAGTGACCACCCCAAGTATTGCTCCTATGTTCAAGATGGAGCCGAACCAAGTGATCTGTGTGGCTTGCAAAGGTTCATTTCCAAGCAAAGAACAATTGGTTTGTTTGGGGAAACTTTGCAGCATCGCGGAGCTTGGAGAGGAGTAACCCATAACAATTCCTGTAGCAAGCGCTCCAAGGTTGCAGCAAAAAGCCGCTATGAATTGATACAAGCGCGCCGGCTTTTTAATTAATTTTGAATTTGCGTCTTCCATGGCTATGTTCGATTTTAATTGAAACTAGTGCAGTGGTTAGTGTAATAATAAGTTTTCTAATTTAAAGTTAAGAAAACTTTATTTGTATTTGACAAAATTTCTGGAAAAATATAAACAAATAACACTCGCTCGATCAAGCTAAGAGTAGTCCATCGAAATTTTACAAAACAAGTTACGTTCCAATTGGGAATTGTATTATGATAATTTATAGAGTTCAATTAAGACCAAAATGGGGTTTAATGCTTTAATTTTAAAATCCTGTTTTTAAACTATTATATAATAAGCTCAAACTTGTTATAATTGATCGTTTTGAAAACTGATAAACAGTCGTCTTTCACAGGACTCGTAAAGAAGTTTCCATGCACACAATCCAAACGCTCACTTATATTCCGATTTTAAATTTTGCAACATAATGTTCTTCCTTAAAAAGCTTTCGGTATTCGCATCGTATTTGTCATATGAAGAAACAAAATTTTCACATATATGCGGTTTTCGGCTGCAATATCGCTTGCAAAAATTACTCATTCATGCAACTTAACGCTGTTGTTCTGATGACAGATCTTGTTCTTTCTTTTAATTTCTCAACTGAGCAATGTCCGCTAATAATAAAAAATTTTCCGATTTCCGTGCGCTTCTCTTTTCTGTCACTGGTGCACGTGTGGCTCGACAATCGTTAAAGTGACCTCTTGTATGAGGTTTTTCCGTTCCTGCAGCGGTTTACTTATCTCATTTATATCTTCGAGTTTCACAGACGTTAGCGCTGCTAATCTCTCAAAAGTTTTTCTCGCTGAACATATTAGGTTTTTTATGATAATGATAAATACAATTATTGATTAAACACTGATATTGATTTTATGAATATCGGGCAAATCATGGCCAAATCTGTGACAAAATTTAAAAATTTTTTAAATCATTTGCCGTGCAAACCTGCTACTCAGAAGCGTTATTAGGCCATCAATCCCCCAATTTATTTCTAGTCTCTTGTAATAATTTGTTGCTGTCATACAATTTTCTCATTTTGGCCACAAATACAGACAGGTCCAAATAATTGCCATATTTAGGTCACATATACCAACAGTTTACACGGCTTCTGGTCGATAATGAAATTTTTATCGACAAGGCACAACAAGCGATGTAGGCGAGCTCGGCACAGAATATGGCAACGCAACGGATGGAGTGACAGGAACGATAGTAGAAAGCTCACATGTGCTGCCCGTGGCACAGGTGTTTGCTGCCTAAATGCTGGATACTACAGAAAAGATTGCAAGACATGAATATACATCAGCATTTAAATTTACCATCAGGTGTTCAACGCCCTACATTTTATTCGTTTGAAAGTATTTAAGCCATTTAACACAAGCCATTCTATACAATTGTTACATGATTTTATCAAATATATAGTATACTCGTTTATCGTGCCGAGATATTGACTGGTCCTGAAGTTAATTCTGCGCCGGAAAATAATCTAGTATGAAAGAGAAATTCACAATGATGGGATTCGGGATAACAATTAAGATTCGTAATGACGGGATGACGAGAGTCAGAATGGTGGATTCGTTATGGTGGTCTTTCGAATGATAGGATTCGGGTAAATGGAATTCGTGACTTCGGGATTCGGGTTGACGGTATTTTCAGAAAACGGGATACTCATATTGTATGGATTTTTCATCCTGAGCAACGCGGTTATTGACAAATTTTGGAAAAATTTGGAGCGTATATAGCTTGCTTAAAGCTTGGACAAAATTCAGACATAGTACAGACAAATTTCGTACAGAATGCGATCAATGCACGGACATAATTTGCTTAAATCTCATTCAAATTTGGGACGAAATTCAGACAAAATTCTGACAAAATTTTGAAAATTGCTAATTACTAATTGCTGGGTCCGAAGCAGCTGCCAGCTTGGCAACAACCTAGTGTCATACAGCTGCCATCATCCAGCTACTACTATACAGCTGCCATCATCCAGCTACTATTATACAGTTGCCATCATCCAGCTACTACTACACAGGTGCCATCATCCAGCTACTATTATACAGTTGCTATCATCCAGCTACTATTATACAGTTGCCATCATCCAGCTCCTATTATACAGTTGCCATCATCCAGCTACCACTGGACCGATATCAGTAAATGATGTCAGTGACCGATGTTATCCCCCCTGACGGAGATGCGGCCGAGGCAGGCACACAAACTGCGCTGCACACCAGCGGCGTAATGAAGCGTTCATTCAAAATCAAGGCCACCGAGTCATAAATTACATCAATCAAGCTTTACTGCGGTTATTTAACTACATTAGTTGATAGTTACGATGTCTTTTTACTTTAATAGTTGTGCTTCATTTAATTTTTCCGCAGGCAAGTTTTTTGATATTACTACGTTCACTTTACGAGGATCATTGAACTTACCAAGTTTGCGTTATGACTTCAATTTGTATTTTCCTGCCTGCCTTGTCCATCAGTCCTGCGGCCACCAAAGTGGCCGCTATCTGCGCCGAGCCGACCACGATGCTGGCCACGTTTGAAGTGGTGCTTATTTTCGCGCTCTGATCATGCTTTACTGCGGTTATTTAACTATGTTAGTTTATAATTACGTTCTCTTTTAAAGTTAATAGTTGTGCTCCATTTGATTTCCGAAGGTAAGTTCGTTAATATGCTACGTTCACTCTATGATGGTCATTGAACTTACCAAGTTTGCGTTATGACTTCAATTGATCTGTTGGGTAAAACCACAAGCTGTTGATCAACAATCCGACGTTGAGATTGGCAGTCTAGCATCATATTATAACTGAAACAGTATCATTTACTGCTTCTCGAGTGCCACAACACAAAAATTCGAGGGAGTAGTTCAAAAACTTTGTGACTGTGCGTCGAGTGAAACGACTGAGAGTCAAGAATAAAAACTGCATAAATTAGAAGTACTTCAGGTGAAGCGAAAAAGATTTTGCATCGAGAAGGCAGTGCGAAGAGAAAAATATTTAATAAGCTCTGTTAATCCCCACATACATATTTCTTTCACTTCCGGAAAAAATCCGAAATGTCGACGAAAGCTTCGTTATTTCTGAAGGAACTAGCGAGAGACCAGACTTTCGTGAACGGAGCACTGGTCATCAACATTTTGGCTTCCGGCTCATTCAGTTTATTAAAAAATAAGCCATTAGGTTCTGATTTTTAAATAATTGTATGTTTAATGTATTTCTGATTAATATCAGTATTTTTTGAAGTAATGCATTTATTATCTTATCATATGTATAAGCTAGACACCAACATTTCTGCTTCACTTACAAGGAATCAATTATTCCAGCAATGAACACCATTTTGATGAACCTGAGTCAAGATTTGTTCCCAGTAGTTTAAAGAATTAAGGGCGAATTAAATTTTGAATTATTTCACCTAACTTCCAATGAAAATTTTTTCTGCAATAATCCTACAACCGTATTCAGTTTGCCCTTAATAAAGTGTATTAATAGGTCATTTAGTGCAACTCCCTGTACCTCATTCTATTATTTATACTTATTTTTTGTTATATTTTATTTTGTTCAATTTAATAATTGTTTCGTACATTTTGTCCTTTGATATCTTCAGATGGCGTGACAACCCACGATAGCTGAAACCTGGTCACCGATATTAAGCTCTGCCCACTGACTAACTCGTTGAAAACCACCCAACTGCGCCACCATATGGCGTGTCAACATCACAACACCTGCGTATCATACGTATTTGAGATTTACAATGATGTTTTTTCTCATAGGTCCGATAAGATTCCTCACGAGAATTCGTTGTGAATGAATCAACGTGTACAAGATACGGCGACTCCTCTATAGGCCGCTCTATAAAAGTACGTGAGAGGATTTCTGACGGGAATCACGACGCTAAAGTTTGAAGTATATTTAAATATGTGCGAATTTATAGACCAAATATTGACATACAAGGCTTAATTGAGGCTAGTGATAACTGAATTAACGAAAAAATACAAATTCAATTTAGACGTAGTTTGGATGGCTTGCAAATAGTTCGATGTTCCAGAAAGATGTATATCACAGGCTCACAGCTGTTGTTTTGCTGAAAATAAAAATTGCATATTACATGTCCTCGCAGAGATATTTTTGAGACGCATAATTAGCTTTCCAGTTTTGGTATAATTAAATTAAACACACAATACATGCAGGTTTAAGTATGAACTTAGGATGCACAAAACCAAATTTTATGAATTCATCCAAATAATTTAATTTGATGTTAAAACTGACTATACATTTTCCTCCGCCGCTCATTGTTCAAGCAAAAAAAAAAAAACAAGGCAAGGAAATTTTTATGACCCTAGGGATCAAGAAATTTCAAGCTTAACTTGTTTGAAATTCAATTGTAATGCAGGTTTACTAGAATTAATGAAAATAAAATTTTAGCGTATCTACCACAAGCGAGATAATGTGGATAAGAAGAGCCAACAAGTTCTTTTTAGGAATTAGATTTTCAACAACAATCTGGGATGAGGAATTTTATCGTTGCGTTCGAATAAAAGTGCATTTAGGCGGCTAAAAATCCGGAGTGCACGAATGTCGGAAACACAAACTGTTCTTAACTTAGAAGGTTTTCAATCAATAAAGTCAATTTCTTTTGCTGACTTGTTTGTCCATATAATGTATTTAATAAAATGCGATTAATTGAGACTATGACAAGAAATAATCAGAAACAAATAAATAAATCACATATGCAGAGTTTGCTCAGGGATCTGCATGACTTCGGTGTTATTTTCCGGCTTTTCTGGAGTCCCTCCGAACATTTCCGCGATTTCCTCCGCTGTTTTGCCTTTGGTCTCCCTGACCATCAGGACTGAGAAGAAGAAGCTTACGACGCACATGCCGGAGAAGAGCCAGTACACTCCGTAGTCGTGGATGGCTTCCTGTTTAAAGTTTCAATTATATTTATACTGCGTGGTGAAGTTTATTGTGTTCAACCTGAGCGACAATTGACATTTAAAAAACAGAATATTCAATATAATGTTTTTTGTTTTATTTTAGAATCTATTATGTTCCATTTTTCA